AACGACAGCAACTTGTCTGTTCCCCTTCCCCCAACTCCCCAGCACTGTTCCCATCCCCCCAATTCCCCAATAAAAATCTTTAAAAAAAAAAAAAAGAAATTATGTACATACGTGTATGTGAGTGTGTGTGTAAACTTACAAAGGCAGATACATCAAGGGAATGGATCTCGGGAGTTAAGCCTGAAAATCTGCGTTCCCAAAAGGCAACCTCATCCCAAGTTTTACAAATAGTCAAGTTTAAGAACTACTTGGTTAAATGAACTTAAATATCTAAATTAACTTTCAGCTACAAAATTATGTGGCTCTAATCTCACCCTGATGTTCTCTTAAATCCTCAAATGAAGTGTGACATATCCTCTTACTTTACATGGCATCTGTGTTTCTTGAGTATCTGTGACTTGCAAACAGATGCCAAGCTCTTTGCCTCTACGTTCAAAATTTAATTAGATCTGATCTTTTGCTATAAGATAAAACCTTTTGTACTATCCACAGTTACAACATTCTTTCTCCAAATAAAAAGCCAAAGAGCAAATTCAAACTTGATTTAGAACTCAGCTAAAAATAAAATCTAAAAAAAATGGCGTCACTTCTGTTTTTCTTGCCCCATCCCTGGCTTTTCTGGAGCTACATCCTTAAATTTACTCTGAACTCCTTTCATGCCTCGTCTCCATAATATCTCAGTATTTTGCAGGAAATATTTACCTAAATAAATGCCTTCTACTATATATGATGCAGATTAGGTGTGTTACAACCCAGTACATTGGTTCCTTCCCCTTAAAGAATGTCCTCCTTTTGTTATTGTTATTCAAGTGTTATTGAATATAGCACAAAAGAGTAACATGATTTTGCATACAGCCTAACAATGTTTTTTAATTTCCTTTTTTCTTTGCCTTACAGTATAAGCAAGTGGAACAATACATGTCATTCCATAAGTTACCAGCTGACATGCGTCAGAAGATACACGATTACTATGAACACAGATACCAAGGCAAAATCTTTGATGAGGAAAACATTCTCAATGAACTCAATGATCCTCTGAGAGAGGTAAGATGTATAGTCCTGGATCTCTGTGGTACGTGATCACTGTTTATTTTCTTCTTTCATGGTAAATCCTCATGATTTAGAGGATTACTCAAAAGAAAAAATAGAATGAAATGTTAAGACATCTATTTCTTTTGCCCTTATTCTTTCTTATGTTTTCCTATATACAGACTTTTAATTGTTTTTTAAAAAGTACTAGAAAACTGTTTTTATAATGATGATTCTCACAACTGTTTTATTTTTTTTACATTTTCTTTCTTTTTTATTGAATGTATTGCAGTGACATTGGTTAATAAAATTATATAGGTTTCAAGTGTACAATTCTATAATACATTATCTGTTGCAATTTTCTGTATAACTAGTTATCAAAACTTCTTATTATGTCCTGATTGTCCACATCTCTCCAGGCTTCCATTCTCTCATCTCATTCTTACCTGCTTCTTTACCTTCTTTTGCTTAACCTACTCTCCTCTCATGTTCGTTTTTCCTGTTCATCCCCTGGACTCAAATCAGAGACTGACCTGACCTGTTGCGAGTTACTCGTTTCTTATCACCTCATTAAAACACTTTGTAATTTCAATAACCATCTCTTTGCCTTAGGCCTACTTTCCTCCCCTTCCTGGAGGTCTTCCCTCTGCCCACTCGAATGTTGAGGTCACCCCTAGACCAAAGGACCATTGTCTTTCTTGTTCCTATTTCTTACACTGCTTTGCTCTTCTTTCTTTTACTACCAACCTTCTCAAAATATTACTGTGGAATCAGTGCATTGTGGTTTGATCTCCATTTCTTTACCAATACTGCTTCCTTGAAAGTTATCAATGACCTGTTAATCATCACAGCCTTTGTCATTGAGTCCTTGTTGGTAATTTTTAAACTGTTAACAAGACAACATCCCAAATCTTCTTTTTGCTCTTTTTTAACACTGAACCATTACTGAACCATAGACTATTCATTCTGATTTTCTGAATTTATTCTAAATTATTTCTTTTATCTCACACTTCAGTTCTGTCCATTTGAGCTCCAAGTTCTTGCCATAAACTGCGTTTTCTTAAAAGCTACGTGATATACCCTGGCCCCATATACATAGTAAGCTATATATCTTCCATCTTTAAACCATTTATTTATCTTTTGAAGTCTCTCTGTAAATGTTTTAGTCATTTGGAGTATAAAACTTTGGTCCTTTTTTGAAGCTTTCCCTGCTCTACACATCCAGTCAATCACCAAATGCTATCAGTTGATCGTGGAAGCACCTCTTACGCCCATGCCCTTTCTTCCTTTCCCAGCACCATCACCCTAAACCATTCCCCTCACAGGGACTAGCCACACTATACCCATAGATGACCTCCAGCCTTTGTTCTCTTTTCTCTACCTACCACTTAAAATTTCATTGATACCAGATTAATCTTCTTTTATGGATACAAGCTGGTCATTTCTCTGCTCTGAAACTTTCAGTCTTTACCAATCCTATCAAATAAAGCCACCTTAGCTTCCTGGTCTAGCCCTCCCTTGCTGTGACCCTGGCTAAATCTCCAGCTTTCCTTTTCCCTCCTGCCCTACGTGTTACAAAGTAGCCTACAGCCAAACGGTGCAGCTTGCTGTTTTGCAAAAGTCAATTATAATTCCTCACCCGTGCATCATGGTTTCCAGAAATGTCTCTCATCTTCTAGCAAAATCTAGTTCAAATAATACTTCTTTATTTATGCCTTCTTTAATTTTTCACATTAGGTCTGGTCAATCTTCTCTGACCCCCAGTCTACTGAGACCATAAATCTTCAGTGCTACTTATCCATTCTGTCTGTTATCACTATTTTTTTCACAGCTGTTTTCTCTACTTTTGTCTTCAAAGTTCCTTAAAAGCAATGCCCATTTAGTCCATATGTTAATTTTTTTGAAATTCCTAGTACATGGAGCATATATTAAGTAGCTTCTCAAAAAATATTTTTATTTCACTAACGTCCTTACCATTGTTAACCATTCTTAAGTTCTTGCATCCACTAAAAGTTATTTGTATTTTTGGTTTGTTTTTTTTTTAAAAAAACTTAAGATATCAGTAAAAGTTCTGGCAATAAAGGGAACTAAATACCTGCTATGCTGTTCATTAGCTTATTTTTCCTACAAAGTCATCAATCACATATGAATATGTAAATCTTTTTCCTTTAAGAAACATGATTTAAACTTGTATTTTTTTAAAAAGTAATATATCATTTGGTTGGTTGTTTTAGTGTTGTTGGTTTTTTTTAAATCTATCTACATACTTTTGCTTTATCTCTCTATCTTTTAGACTACAGAATTTGTATTAAATCTGAATCCCTTTCACTAAGGTGCAGAAGCTCAGGACACTGGAGCCAGGTTGAGCTCTCAAGGGCCGGGAGGGATTCAAAGTAGGGACAGGCCATAGCATGGAGACAAAGGTAATCCAAAAGACAGTATCAGGGATTAAGATGCATCAAAATACAGGATATAATAAAATCAAGGATTTATAGTAAAGAAGCAGGGACAAGTAAGTGTTCTAGCATGAAATGTCACTGAGGGTATACAGAACGCTGACAGGAAAAGTGGGCATAAAAATGAAGCCTAAGAAGTTACGTGTAAGTGGGGAGCATTCCCCTATGCTGAAAATTCTCAATGTAATATAAAATCAGGATAATAGGAACATTTCCTTAATCATGTGTTTTGTTAATTACCTTATCTTGCCATACTTTAATGTATTCTGATCTTCAGTAAAAATAGATTCCACTTTTCATTTATTCCCCTTAAAGCTATCCACAGATATACGTCCAATTTCCTCAATTCCTACAGCTATCCTATCATTAAGTTATCATCAGTTTTTTTCCTTACATTTTCAAATTCTATAGTTCAGCATCTTTTACCTTAACTTCTCAAGTGTACTCACAACCTTTCTCCCTGCCTTTGATCTCAGCTAGCTCAAATGCATCCCAGCTCATGGCTACCATATGAATGGATTATAAAACACACGTTTGACAGGTTGCTCTCCTCTTCAAACCTGATCATGACTTCCTGGCCCCTGCAAGAACAACCCCAGGCTTCTTGACACGGCACACAGGTGTTCCATGGCCTGCCTCCATCTTCATTTCTTTACAGCCACGCTTCACCAACAGGGAACTGTTGATATTTTCTTGGTGGGAGGTGGGGCAGTACTGTTGATGGCCTTTTTGCTTTTCTTCATGCTACTCTCTCTATCTTTAATCTTTTCTAATCAGCTTACCTTCTTCTTTCCATTGCACACTCTTGCCAGTCATGACCTTCTTCATAAATTTGTCCTGACCACTCTGTCTCCATCACTGTGTTTATCATTTATCAGTTTAAGGTTTGTTTCTCTCAAGACTGTGACTCTTGAGAATAGGGACTGTGTCTTAATATCTTCGTATTTCTAGTGACCACTATGTAGTAGGAACTCATTAAATATTTCCTGAACGAATATTTCTTTAACAGGATTATGAATGAAAAGCAGGGTAAGAATCAAGCCTACTTAATAAAATTAGAGATCCTAGAAGTAGAAGCATGAAATCCTCAAACACTTAACACCTTAAAAAGGTGACAACAACGTGCTCCATTTGTTCATCTGCTTTTCAGCCATTGCTCTTCTAACAACAGAACCACACAAAACCCTAAATTTAATGTGATCCTGAGTTAAGACTTTATGACAAGGGAAACAGGATGAGTAGAATAGGAGTATAAGGAAAAACATTGGCAAACAGATCACAAAACTTGAATCTAAAAAAGCCAGACATGTGTTCTGAAGAAAAGTTCAATAATAACAATGGGAAATAGATCTTGCTCCCTATTAAGCTGGACTATTATATACCTGCTATATTTAAGTCATAGTGGTAGATCAAGAGAAATATTTTAAAAGTAGTATAATACATTATTCCACCTTTCAAAACTTGCTTTTCTCTTAGAAGATGAGACATACTCTATGTCAAGGTGTCTTTTGGTCACTGCTATGCCTTTAGTGTCTGGAAAGTACCTGGCACATAGAAACCATTGAATTATTGATGCAATAAATGTCAAATGATCACTCAGCTAGGATACTCAGAAAGGGAAAACTGGATTATTTGATATGTGTTTTTGTGACAAAAGGTAAAAATATAAGATGTGCATTGTATACACAGACACACACCACATACAATTGCTAATTGTATGTACAATTTTGAATCAACCACCATCTTATATTATTAACAAGACTTCTAATTTAAAATGCTTCATTGTTCTAAAGGCTCATTTTTTATGAAAGCATTTTGCATAATTTGAGATTCTTACATACACTTAAGAGCAGTGGTTTCTGCCAACACAAGCTTGGGTGCTCAGGAATGTGTAAAAGTGAAGCGTAGGCCAAACCTTCAGACTCAAAAACTTACACAAAATTCATAAAAATAGAGAAAGAACGTAAAATGCAAAGTTTAAGAACATGAAAATAATTCTATATTCATAATCAGTTAATTCTGCATTATGTTTTATCCATTTTATTCCCCTTCCTTTCATTTCAATGTCTTTGAATACTTTTACATATGAAAAAATCTTTAGTATGTAAAATGTTGGAAAGACTTTCACTTGTGTGACCTTTGAAAGCTCTAATAAAAAGCTCATGTCATGCGTATGCAAATTCAGTTGGTAAATACTTCAAAAGCACTGCTCTATTGAAAGCATTCTCCTATTTCCATTTCTGTGGCAGAAATTAGGTGATTTATCTTTTTCATACATTTGGAGACTAATTGCTGAAATGCCCTTAACAAATGGCTGGCTCATTCTTATTGTTCAAGTCTCAATACAACTGTAACCTCCTCAAAGAGGCCTTCCTGGAGAATTCATCTAAATTAATTCCCTGGCAGTCATCCTCCATCACATCAGCCTTTTTGCTGTATACAAATCACTCTGTTGTCTTGCGGCCCCTTTATGTTTATTTGTTCATCGTTCATTGTGCCGTATGAACTCAGGATCCAAGAAGGCAAGGACTTTGTCTTTCTTGATTTCCACCACCACCA